TCATAGGGGAAATTACTATGCATGGAGGTGTGTTATCGTTCTATTGGTGGAAGGCTTTTTTTTTTTTCACCTGATGATGTCATCATGCTGTAGTGCAGTTCATGTTGAATTAAGTGGAAGTTGCCTCAAGGCTATTGGCATGCAAGTCTCTTGCAGATGCAAAAGAATATAGTTAAACTGTGTACAGAGGTGATTATCTATCAGATGTACATTTTCAGGCTATTAATGTCATGGACTTAAATATGCCTTAAGTTTGATTGTCAAAACAATATGTAATTCTTTTCTTGACTTTTTAAACTTTTATTATATTTTGTTTTTCACAAGTGGATTGAGACAAATAATATGTATGAATTTTTTATTGAGAAAAAAAGTGTATATATGCAACTAATTTATTAAGTGTCTGAATTTTGTACCTTTATTAAAAAGTAATAAAACAATTTAATTTTGTACACTTGTATGATCCTTTTAGTTGTAACCACTGAAAACAAGGATAATGGTGATGGTAAGTCAATATAATTTTATCTTAACATTCATAAACTTAAATTGCTTTTATAAAAAAAAGAATATAATTTGATCATAATTATAGGTAGAAATTTGAGTATTCACATTCACTTCAAGTGAATATATAATGCATACCATGTACATGTTTTCTTCTAGCTACTAGATTATTTAATTTAGAGAGATAATAGAAACTAAATATGAATGGATGTGTTTTTACTTATTCCTATCCTTGTGAAAATCACTAAAGTGAACAGATAAGAGAATGGAATTATCTAGTAATAATTGAATGACAAATATTTAATATACAAAAAATATTGTATATGTAGTAAAACTTACCTTATATGCTGAATTCAACTTATATACAAAAAAACTGTTGAAAAATACATGAGTGGTTTTTTTGGTCATACTAATGATCAGTTGTAAATTTACATCACTCGGTAGGAAGAAACTTTTAAATCACGTAGTTTGTTTGTTGATTATTCTTAATTGATACATTTAAAGAAGACTAAAATTTTCTGTTGTGTTTCAAGTTTTAAATAATGTATATTAGTAAGAACATAATTTTACTTGTTTTTCCTACGCTTATGATCTTTAGTTATTCGCATAATTTCTCAAACAAGTATATCTTATACTTTATATTTTGTGAGAATTATTTCAAATTCTCAAAAAAATATAGAAAATCAAATTTTGTAAATGTTAGTTTTAAAATGCATATCTTTTACCAATTCTTAGAATACTGTAGCAGATATGACTAATTATGTAAATGCTATAATATGTATATAGCTTTTTTATTTTCCTGAACATGTTGGAAAGAAAACAAAACTATTTTTTTCTACTTAGAGCCATCCAAATTACATACATGTTACCATCTTTAGTTTTAAGGATGTGGTTAGACATTCTTGCCTTATATGTTATTTGAAGTCTTAGGCACACATACCACAAATATTACACTTTGTAATTATTAATCAGTGAAGATTCTATTACACTGTTACCCCACATGACTGTTAATTGGGAATTGTTAACATTTATAAACCTGAGAAGATCTGCATTATGGGACTCACAACTTTAGTGAGGATACTGCATATACTCATGTAATAGGTGAACTCAACTAAAAGTTGACCCATTAATTTTGGCTAAACATTCTAGGTTTTTAACGTACCTCAGATACATTTTAACCTTAGTTTCTCAAAAGAACTAGCCCAATACATTTATAACCTAAGGATGTTTTATAGGCTAAGTAATTAGGACTAAATCTGATGAGATACTAGTATAAGTGTCATGACATTCAGGTGGGACTATTGTGGTGATTCTTGCCTACATGCACTGGGCTGACTAGCAGTAGCAGCAACTACACGTTGAGACATGACATGCTTCCATTTTGACCCATGCTCATGGATATCACTTGGCTATTTATCATGTTGTTCACAATTTCCATGAAACTGGAATTTGTTTTTTGTTTTATTCAATAAACTCTTGACACTACCTGGGTTATTGTTTTAATCTTTGTTTCATGGACTCAAATGGAGCATAACTTTCAACCCTTTTAATATGTCATTCATGTAAAAGTTGACTTCTACATTTAAGTAATAAAAATTGATATGAAAAATTTGACTTTTACATGGGTATATACGATAATTTCACTACTGTTTGTGGATATGCTATGTTAGTTTTTTACCATATAGTATAGTGTTCTGTAATTATGGTTTCACTGTTGTTATTGTTACATTGCATAAGTCATAAAATAACTTGAAAACATAGTAAGACTATAATAACAATGAAAAGAAATAAAAGGTGTTTTTTGAACACTGATGGCACTTAAAAAAAATTGAGATACATATACAGTATGATAATAAAATGTTAATTTTTATTTGTTTTTATTCATCTAGAAAAGTTTTCTGAGGACAAAGAAACACGTAAGTAAATAAATGTCATGTCCCACAATTTTTTGAATTTAATATTATTTTATTTGGAAGACAGCACTATAAATGTTGTATGTAAATTAAAGATTATAATTACTTTAGGAATTTTGATAGTTTTGTCAATATATTTACTATTCAGGTTTTAATGTAAAACTTTGAATTAACATCGACAATTTTGAGTTTTGTTTAATGAATATTTGTTTATTCACGTACACTATCATAACTTATAAACAATGCTGTTTTATTGAACATAATGAGACACAATATTTGTATAACTTTTGATATCTTAATTATGATAAATTGTTTTTGGCTGGAATCTTTAAAATTTTTTAAAAGGAATACATTCTTTTTTTCAGTGAAAAACTACAGTAAACGGAACAAACTGTCAGAAGTATGAAATTAGAGAAACTAGTTTCAACACATTCGTGCATCCTCTTCAGTCTCATGTGAGAATGAAGAGGATGCACGAATGTGTGATAGATAGTGTCTCTAATATCAGACTTCTGACAGTTTGTTCCATTTACTGTGGTTTTTCACTAATTGCTATACATGATATTGTGTTCTTTTATCATTATTATTCTTTTTCAGCCTTTTTATAACATACATGTATTAATTTCACACGTGCATTATTGTTTTGAATGAAGGTCAGTTTATGTGTAAAATTTATTTGAAAATTAAACATACAATGTGATTGGGTAATTTTATTATATTAGTACTTTGTTATATGTCCTTGATACTTCTTTGTTAAACTTGTGTATTTTAACCCAAACTGTTTTCTCAGGCTTACACGAGGTGATTATGCTTTTGAACTTCATTAGTTTGTTGGAAGATATGCAATCACATTTCTAAAAACAAAACAGTTAGCATAAAAAATTGGGCTCTGTACACCGTAATTGTTATCATACTGAGCTATGTTTTATTGGGTCCACTGTTTATACTGAAGGGGACATAATCAAAATAACATTTTATTCCCCTTTGGGTTAAGAGTAATCACATAAATAACAAAATCTGTTTACTGGTTGCTCCTTGAACTCATTGAACAAGCTTTTTTTAGAATCTTAACCTCTGTATAGTTGTATTTCTCAAAATAATCTGAACTAAGATATTTGTTTAAAAAAAAATATCACAGTGCAAGTAAATGTGAAAGAAGCACATTTCAGGTGTATTTTAGTGTTGTTTAAATTATTTATAAGCAAAATTAAGTTATGAAAATTATAATTTTAATTGTCCTTTTAAATGTTTGGAAAATCCATTGTTTTAACAATGTTGGTTTTGGACTACCAAGTTTATATTATTCTAATATCATTTATAAAAGTCAGTTTCATTAAAAAAGATATGTATGCATGTATTTCATGCTCAATACACATAGCAACAGTGAGAGATTCCTTGCATGATTTAAGCTGAATGCATTTTTGTGATAGTACTCAATGAGCATGCAGCTACTTAATTGCTTCATTATCCATTTGACATTTAACTTCATTTTGCTTGTAAAGCCACATTTAATAATATTTTAATAATATATAATAAAATTATAATAACATATTAATCTTCTGTGAAGATGAAGCTCAAAACCCTGAAAGATATATTCATGAGTAATAGATAGTATCAAATCATATTGGAGAAAATTATTTTTCTGATATGGTTTCTTACCTTCTGTCACACTTCGTTTAGTGCTGCCATCTATATGCAAAAATTATTCGCATGCCACAAGTCTTTTAACTCCCACATACCCCACAATCAAATTGATTCACTGCTTCTTTGTGTGTAAATCCTCATGTGACAACCCTTCAACAATAAGAGTGTAACACACCCTCCTGATGTATGTGGCTCCTTCTGTTCGATTTTACTGAACTATCATTTCTTGTTAGGTAGTTTTCTATTGCAGATATTTTCATTTGTGCTCTCTTCTTGCATTGATTGCCCCCCAGTGGCACAGCGGCATGTCTGCGGACTTAACAACGCTAGAATCCGGATTTCAATACTCGTGGTGGGCAGAGCACAGATAGCTGATTGTGTTGCTTTGTGCTTAACTTCAAACAAAAAACAAAATCTTGCATTGATTTCTTGTTTTTTTACGATATAGTGCTCTACTATTTATTATTAATTTGATAGTTAGTTTTCTGTAGTATTTACCACAAGAACTTACCTTTTCTAATCAGTTTTTTTTCTTCAATTTTTGTATTTGTCACAGTTTAATATGAATTTCAAAGTTCATGTTACAACTTATGATATTCTTCCCACTGCTTGAATGCCGTTACACAGGCTTCAGGTTGGGGGATTTTGGCTGAGAATGTTTCGGCTATCATTCGATGGAAGATTTGTCTTAATATGAGTAGACCTTCTTCTCCTGACTATGTTTGAGTTCCTCTTCTGTTGATCAAACCTGTCATGAAGAGGAGGATTTTGACAGCCTATTACTTCCTCCCAACTATGCCAAAGCATCCCAAGACTTTTGTGGTATTAGCCAGGCCTCCCTCAGCTATTTTGGATATGATTTCTCAGGTTTGTTCCATTTTA